GAATCCTCGAGAGGAGGAGGTGTGGTTCCCAAAGGACCGATCACGGATGGCGAGGGGGGGGGGGAGAGGAACACGTGCTTACCATCCATGAGAATATTTCCTACACTAGCGAGAACGGGGTCGGCGTTTGAGCGGGCGGAGCGTGAGCCTCGACGATCGGAAACTATCCTGGTTGGCTTTGCTTTTTACGTCTCAAGAGAGGGAGGGTTGCGCTCTTGATCATGCGTCGAGACGGGGCGCCGCGGAAGGCGGACGGGTACCACAAGAGGAGGCACCCGCGACTTCGAGTTCATGGACATTCTTGTATTCGTTTCCTGTAAGAATGCTGAGCAGGTTGCGTGTGCCCTTCTACATTGATGCCTCGTTTCGTAGCAGATTGTACATGCAGAAACGAGGTTGCACCCATTAACAAGTCCACGAACACATTATTTGTTTCTTCTTCATCGCTTGGAAAAAAAAGTGGTTGGTCTACTCTCAATAACAAGAACAACAACACATATTCTTATGATGTTGTAGTCTCCAACACGATCTATTCTACCATGCTGGTTGGATACTAAGGAGTACATTGGTTTGCTGGCGCTATGCAAAATCCGTGACCTGCTCTGTTTCGTTTGGACCGGGCCACGTCACCTGTAACGAGCTGCCCGGTTCCCTCGACGCTGGTCACTGCGCCGACCAGTCCGCCAGTGTTCAGGTATAGCTCCTGAAGCCGCGCGTCAAACAACAACAGCGTACACACACATAACCACGGTCAATAGGTTGGGATCTCGGTAGCAGTGCAGATGGAAATGATCATGATGGCAATGAGGGGAATTTGTCTGGTAGCGATGAAGGAGGAGGAGAGGGAACAGGAAGAAAAAGGCAGAGACCAAGACATCAATCAAGGAGGGGATCATGGCGTGGAAGAGAGCAAGAGCTTCGAGCCATATGACCTTCCCCACAACAAACGAAGCAGGGCCAGAGAAGAACCGCCAAAAATTGCTGTCAAAATGATGATGAGAATGATGGGTAGTGAAAAGCAAGGGGGATGACGGCGAAAGCACTCCAAAACGAACTCGAGTGCAAGGAGGCAGCCTTGGTACAGTAGACGCGTGCAGGTTTCCTCTGTTGCTACCGTTTCTGTCTTTGATCAGGAGAATAGATTGGCCTCTTCCATGCCGCCCCCTCACGGGGTCCCAGTTGATGGCATTTAGAAGTGATTTGTGTTTTCAACCGCGCTGAGACTGACATCTTTTCATTGGTCAGCCGGTTAGCGCGGTCGATGCTAATAATAAAAACACACACAACCATAAGAAAACACACGCACCATCAGCAGTCAGACGGATACCACCGCTGTCGCTCGTAGATATGTCTGGCGACGATCCAAGTGACCAGTGCTCCAACAATGCGGGCACTGCTGTGCGGGTGGGGGCTTTTCGAGTCACCATGTGCCCACAGGGATATGTTGCGCTCTCCTAACGCTACAAGAAGCGCGATACGATAAGTGTCAACATGCTGCACTCGATGCGCAGCATGCCAAGGACTTGCTGCAAATCATCCAGGTATCATCAGCCTGTTTACACCAAGTGGTAGCCTCAGGGAGGTGGTATTGGGCGTCATATAGAAAAAGTGCATTTTTCAAATTTCAGTGTAGGGGTCAGGGGTACTTTTCGAGCACCTTGCGCAGTCCTTGCACTAGCTGGGTCTAGCTGGGACAAGAAATCTTCTCTGAAGCTTCAAATCAAAAGTGTGTGCAGACTTACAGCAGCATATTGCTGTTGCAATATGAGTTTCCAAGTCGTGTACAACTGCTGGAGACAGATACCTGAATGATCTCTTGACTTTCCGCGCCCTCCCGACCACGGTCTCCTTGATCCATAATTTACGAAAAAGGTCTGTCGCCAGAATCAAACTTCGCCAGCCCTCTCTCCGCTGTGTTGGCACTGTATGGGTGGTACCAGTGGAAGCGTGAGGGTGACAACTGCCTGCGGCTTCTCTGTTCTCTCAGCTTTGTTTGACCAAGGAGCCCCGCAAAGAGGAATATTCACCCTCCCTTCGCATCTGCGTATTATCTCAGCCCTCGACCCCCTCCGGCTCCGCCGCGCCGTTCGCGTTTGCTGGTTGGTTTCACTCTCTCTTCCCTCGCCAAACGGACAGGATGGCTGCTCGCTCTGTGGCCCTTCTCGTGCTTTCGTGCCTCGCATCGGGCATGGCCTTCGTGGGTATCGGGGTCACTCCCAAGAGGTGGGCGCACAACTGGTGAAAGCGAAGATCTGCGGTGCTCCTTCGCTGCGCACACCTACAGTAGACATACATGTTCACCCCCCTCTGGGTTTCATCACGAACTGCTGTACTGCTGTAGCTGCCGCACAAGATCCCGCAGTTAGGATGCGAGCCAGCAAATAAACTCCATAGGCGTTCGCCTACACGTGCGAGCACCACGCTGCCTATTGTTGTTGAAGCGAATTCTAGAAATAGAATGTGCAGTTGCAAGACGAGCAGTTATTTGAACAGCCAACCAATGGGCGGCTTCCAAACCTCGTTCAAAAAACGAAAGCAAAAGGTACTGCTGTACTTACCCAGCCGGTTTCCCTCCACTCACTAATGCTGTGAAGACTGCAACACATTCCCTTGATTGTGGTCATATCTAGGACGGGTAGTTTTTCTGTGTTTTTCATGTATTGTTTCTAAAAACCAAAAAACCAAAATCAAAACAAAACACAACACCAACGTCACCAATGATATATAGACGTAAGCCACATCCACACACTCTCACCTCCTACCGAGGAACGCAGCTGATTTCCGGTGTCTATTTAGTAGGATTATGAATCGTTGCTGACACCCCGTGTATGGGTTTTGTATTTTCCTTATGCATTTTCCCTAGATGGGCTATTTATTGCCCACGGGTACAGCAGTAGATACCGGACGAACATGGTCTGGTTATAGCGAGAACACGACGCCACTGCTAGAGAGAAGTTTGAATGTTTGAATGTTTCTGTTTCAACAACAGCCGTTCCCCAGAGATTGTCCCATGACAACACCATGCCCGCCTCTTGGTGCATGAAACGTACGGTAGGTGGGTGTCCCTCCATCTCGGGAGAAGAAATGTCGCCGGCAACTCCCGATCGTCGGCAGTAAGACCACGCGTTCGCTCCGCGACGGCGCCCTTGGCGATGATGGCCGGGGAGGACGGCACGTCGGCGGATGGCGGGCAAGGAGCGGAGGAGGAGGACGAAGACGACAAGACTGACCCGGACGCAGAGGGAGTTGCGAAGATGCGGGCGAGCGAGATCAAGGCGGAGCTCGACATGCGAGGCGTAGGCTACACCGGGATATTTGAGAAGGTACATACACGTGTTGCAAAGGGGAGAATGTGGGTTGGTTGTGGTTGGCGCGATGCGCGCGACACTACTACGTATGCCTTGTTTTCTTTACACGACGGCAACACCGACGGCCGTGGCGGCTACAGTAAGCTGGCCGGCGAGACAAATTTCGAAATCATTTGCAGCGCGCGCCCAGATTCTTCAGGTAACCCCGTACATTGTAGGGGTCGAAGATGCACCCCTATTCGAGGCGTTGGTTGTCTGCAATGTTAAACTCGTCGCCAAGGGCCAATCGCAAGTTGTTAAAGGACACCGTGGCCGTACGTCCCGCCCTTCGCATTATTCTTTTTCCCATGTTCCCCTTGGTGTTTTTTTTTGTTTGTTTGCAGGACGAGCTCGTGGAGAGGTTGATCGAGGCACGGAGCTTGGGACGAGCAGACCCGTCCATCATCGACGACTTCAACAAGGAGAACCTCGAGAACAGGTAGATGGCCATTGCCGCCGCGGCCGCAATACCCGATCGCCACACATTGCTGGCCTTGCGTTTGTTGTGAAGAATAGGTGACGAACCGATTGCAACACACATCTCTGGCCTTGCGTTTGTTACTATGTGATTGGTTAAGTAGTTTTTCTTGGTCATGGTTAAAACGAGCGCCTTATTATGCCCGCTTATTCATGCTCTCTTCTCTGTTTTCCTTCCCTCCTGCGAAAGGATGGATCCCGAGAGAGCCGCCGGTTTCGCAGATGACCTTCTGAACGAGGAGAAGCTAAAGGACCTCACCGCGGCGGACGGCACCCTTCCAGGAGGTGCGCTTCGGTTGTTTGCATTGTTGTGCAATATCGCGACTGGGGCACAATGACAGTGACAGTAGTAAAAAAGTACGTAGAGTGATACCACGCGCCTGACAAGTATACTTGGGTGGCGTAATTGTGCGCGCCGAGAGGGATTGCTGAGCGAATGTGCTGTGCTTTTTTGTCTACCCTCCTCCCCTTTGGGGAGACCTGGTGTTCCTCGCACATAGTCCATCCCGAGCCGCGACATTGACTAGACTCATCCACCCGCCAAGGAGCGCCGTATCTTCAATCGCAATAAATCGCCTACCAATACTCTTCCCTTTGCTCGCTCTGGTCCACTCAAACGTTCTTGGCCTCTCGGCAAAGGAATGACCCCTGAGATGTTGTCCAAGATGGTTTCCAACCCGGAGCTGATGGTTCTCATGCAGAACCCGAAGCTTCAGGAAATCATGAAGAAGGTGAGAGGGGAACCAATCGTCGAGGCACGAGCTTGACCTGTTGCCGAACATTGCGTCGCCTGATGATGTTCTTGTGGTGCCACGGCCTCTCGTTTCCTTGGGCTGCGGCTCGGTGCGGCCATCGACGAGGAGGGTGACCTCCGGTGAACACGGGACGATGCGGCAGAAGTAGAGAAGCAGCGGCGTATTTTCCGGCAGGAATTTATGAATGGTCCATGGGCTTGAGTTGAAGCTCATTGGTGTGCTTGCTCTTCTGTTCATCTTTTGTTTGACATGCTCGAACTTGTTGCTCGGGTCGTCGGTCTCTGGATGTCATCAGCGTTGGGTTTTGGCCGTTTTTATTATCCTTGCCCTATGCATGCAGCCCATCTCTCGCAGACGCTGCACACTCGACAACCCCAGCATTTACTCACACACAAGGACGGCGGTACGTGCGCCCCGTCCTGTTGTTGCTTGCTGACCCTTGTTTGTCCATTGGATTGGTTAGGTCATGGCCGACGGGCCGGAGGCGATGGAAGAACTCCAGGGCGACCCGGAGACGGCGGAGTTGCTAAAGAAGCTCGAAGCGGCCATGGGTGGCATGCAGCCCCAGGCGTAGGACTGCTGTGAAAGGGCCGGGCCGAGAGGAAAGGGGATTGTAGTGCGGGCGGGTTTAATACCTTACGACTGGTTTCTCCAAATCCGTGTGTTTTTTTGCGGATGAGCTCCGGTCTTTGTTGCCCGCTATCTTGTGTGACCCAAGGTTTTTCGCCAAAATGTGTACCACTCGTTATGAGGGATTGTTTGGCTGAAGAGCACGGGTGGTGTGGCAGAGGGCGCACGGTGAAGCTCACGACCAGTTTTGAAGGAGGCGTGTCGGTGACAGGGGTCGTGTGGGGGGGGTCTCTCCTACTCTTGAGGCTGTCTTGCTTTGCGAGCCGCCGAACCGGGAGCCAGGGTAATGGACGGCGTTGAAGGTCTTCGTTTTGGTGGCGGGTAGCTGATGTGACACGACGCTGAGATTGACTCACGTGAACGAATGCAAGGTCCGTGGACAGCCTTAAGCGGTTTACCGACTGACCCGCACATCGGATATCTACAGCAGTAGCTAACGAATCCATGCGTTTGGTGGAAACAATAAGGTCCATTCGGATACGGATTTGACAACAAGGGTCCTTTGGTTTCCAAGCAAGAGTGGCAGTGCGGTATGTGTTCGCCATGTCCAGGATATTAGTGTCGGTAGCGCTTCACACCCTCCCTCAGTGCGCACGTTTTACTCATGGCTGCTGCTGCTTCGGGGAGAGGAACCGGCAATGCGTCGTGGACAGAAACGATCTGCGTTCTGTCAGCCCGCCTGGCGTGTGGTGCTTCATTCTAGCTGTTCAACAACGTGCGCACGTGTACGCCCGGTCGTACGTCGACCAGAACAAAAAACCGACAGCACGAGACGCGTTGGATTGTTGCCTACGGCTTTCTGGCGAAAAGTCACTGCTTTTCTTTCTGTTCAGCGTACAGCCGTGCCGTGCCTCTCCAACACTGAAAATCCCAGACCTACGGTGTCCGTTACACTTCGTCGAACGGTTCATTCCGATGGTGGTGACAATACTGCGTGTCCCCAAACTGAAGATTTACCCCCCATTAACACACACACCAGACTACATTAAAACTGTGACGTGTGGAGTCGTATGTATGACGTCTTACAATACAATGGTTCACAACATTTGGTGCTTTGATGATCACTCAAAAAAAGAAACCGCTTGCTTCGCTGCGACGGTTGATCAATCCTTTTAGAAAATACTGATGTCCGGGGTTCGAATCTCCCCTTGGGCATAAATTTCTTTGCGCCCGAATTTATGAGGAAGACAACGTCTCAGGAGACTGGCTTCGCAAAAGAAGCCGATGACTTGCTTGTATCGACCTAGCAAGCACAGCGCTGATCACAGGGATGGCAACCCTGGGGGGACGTGTTCGTGGCTGCAAAGCCAGACCGGACACGGGGACTATCTTTTGTTGAGAAGCACGATGACCACACTACACCACTAGTCAGCTGCTGACTATAATATTAGTGGTGTAGTGGTCATCGTGCTTCTCAACAAAAACAACTACGCGCAGCTTTGACGAATGCCATGCTGCACGCCTGGCTGAAGAACCGCTCGGGCTCACACAACAGGTCCTCGGAAACTGACTAAACAGCGTCGTAAATGCGTAAGTACTCCTGTTGTACCCCTCTCTACTTTTGTGTGCGAAAGGATCTACTATTCATGCGAACTGCTGTGCCTTCCCTGTTAGCAGTCTGGTCCCCCATTGTTTTTCTTTGCCTTACATACACGAAAGAGTTGAGCTACGGGCAGGCGATGTTGCTTTGAGCTTCCTGAGGCCCACCCCTCAAGCCGTGCGTCACCGGCGCCCCCAAGAAATCATAACCAGTCCCTCAAAAGGCACGATCCTACGGGAGGTACTTTTGTCTAAAACACCTGTTCCACCTCCCAGGCAAGTATTACTCGCATTAAAAAAAAAAAGAGAACGACCATAGTAGTGTTGCTGCTTGGGAGTACAAACTTCAGTAATATTTCGACGTCATCACTCCCCTTGCCACCGAGCTCTTGATTCGTTTGTGCCGGAGCTAATCTGTTGTGCCTGCTGTCCACAGATACCGAGGATGTACACTCTTGTAACATTTCGACCCCCCCCCCCCCCCCCATTTTGTGACCCTACGTGTCCAAACCAACACGAAACCCCTGTCCAGGTCGGGTGAAAGGGAAACGTTCTGCATGGCCGTGCAAAAAATCATTCCGGAAACAGCAGGGAGCACGGAAAAACGGGACTGTCTGTGGGACAAAATAACTGAAAAATTATTCACACCCCAAACCTTACAGACCGTGAGATCCGGCAAGAAAAAATCCGTCATCGTGGACTACTTGGCACGGATATCGATATCATTTCCCATCTCCGCTTCTTGTAAAACTCCCATGGAATACGGGCTACCCGCTGTAGGCTGTTGTATGTTAGATTTTGCTGGTTCCATGACACCTGTCGGAAACTTCATTTGGGCATTGAAATCCTTACACTGATAGTCATTTATGTCTTCATTTATGTCTTCGGCTGTCGCAAGAGCGACCGCCAAATGTCTGTCACGGTAAAAATATCCGTGCGACATGATGGCGGATCGGTGTAGCGACAACTACTTTTCTTACAAAGCCCTCCCTCCCGCGCCCCCCCGAACCTTCCACGCCCGCCACCCCCTTCAACGGCGTGAGCATTGTTCGTGTTTGACACTCGCTTGCCAGCCCCCCCACAGGAGCGATTTCGGCCGAAAGACTCTGAAAGAGGCCTGGAGGCGGATGAAAAAGAAGCACAAGGACGAGGAGAAGAACGACGCGAAGAAAACAGGGGAGGGGGCGATGGACGATGACCAGAGAGATGACTTGGAGGAAAACTCCGACGTAAGTCCTCTTGGCGTCGCGTCTTTGCGATAACTAAATTTAGTCTAATCGGTTCGGGTTTCAACAGGCCGGCCACCATAGACGGATCGAGCTATACCGTAGGTAGTGCGTACCCTGCATGTTGATGACTAACAATTTTACACTCCGATACTAGAGGTCACACAGCAACAACGATTCATGAGTTGCCACAGGAGGGTGCTGTCCTGGTCGTATTTGATATTTCAGGCAAAACCATGTAAACTCGGTGCATCCAACGCTGTCTTTGTCAATCTACTGTAATGATGACGAACGTTGTAGTCGGTAGCATGGTGGCATCTTACCCACGCGCTTCCACCGGTTGTTTGTATCCCGATGTGTCTTTCCTTGGTTCTTTGTTTCCTTGCCTTCTCACGACAGAAACAAAATCTGATAATGGCCATCAAACTGATGGAGTCAGCACGAGCAAAGGTGCCACCGAGCTTCAATCTCCAAAGAGGACCAAGCGGCGGCCACCAACACTCGTCTAGGCGCGGCAGGTATGTCGACGCAGAGTGGCGCCGGGGCTCTCAGCTCTTCGAGAGGCGCGGGGCGTGGTGGCGGGAGCAGCAGCAGCAGTCGCGGTTCAGGCGGGAGCGGAAGTCGGCAGGGTGGCGGTTCCCGCGCCCAGCGGCCCGGGAAGTCGAGTCGAGGTGCTGGAGGACGCGTAGCGGCTGCCAATGGTGGGAAATTCAGAGGAAAAAGCGGCACGATATACGACAACTGGGAACAGGCCGTGTACTTCAACGACCATCCCTCCGACGAGTCAGGGGACGACGAGGAGACAAGAGCTTCGAAACAACAGGCCAGGAAGGTTCAGGCAGATGACGCACAAGCCCAGGCGCTGTCCAATGGCGACGTGCCCAAGCAAAAGAAGACCGCGAAGACCGGCAGCGCGCGTGTGCGAACTTTCCGGACTGACCCCGCGGACGGTGACGGGGCGACTGAACTGATGAGCCTCATGTGCAAGAGGCTCCAGAGGCAAGATGACAGTGGGGGTGGGAGCGGCAGCGGCAGCGGCGGCCAGAACGCCGGTCTGGATGCTCGCGTGCTTTCGTTAGAGACTTCGAGCGCGAAGATCGTCGACCTTCTGGGCAAGATTTCCAGTCGGATGGAACATCCACCACAGGCCACATCGCCGTGGGGTCCCGGTGGGTACCCTGTGAATTGGGCACCGGGAGGGGGCTGGCAAGCATCCGCTCCCGGAGGGCCGTACGGACCCACGGCTGGTGCTGCTCCTTGGGTCCAAGCCGGACCAGCGCCGACTTCCTGGCCTGCGCACGCTCCGGGAGGGGCCCAAGGGGCGCCGCCGGGAGGACAGCAAGGAGCGCCGGCCTGGCCACTTCCAGGTTATCACGTGGGGGCAGCGGGGGCGGCGGGGCCCGGTGGGGGCGGTGGGGGCAACGCCGGCTCCTTGGCCTGCGCGAGCAACGTGGAGGACGCAAGGGGCGGCAGTCGGGGCAGGCTCGGTTGTGCAGACCGAACATCAGTCCATCGCGAATGCTGCAAAGCCAGGCTCCCTGAACTCCCATACTGCTGGGGCTGGTCTTCCCGGCTTTCAACCCCAAGAGGCTGCTGCTACTGTCCGGTCGATGGGGGTGCACGCCGTGGGGATCTCAGCTCCCGCTGCTGCGTCCGACGTGCATGCGGGGAACGTGCCACAACGGGCAATCATTGCGGGATCCCCACGGCGTGCACTCCCATCGACCGGACAGTAGCAGCAGCCTCTTGGGGTTGAAAGCCGGGAAGACCAGCCCCAGCAGTATGGGAGTTCAGGGAGCCTGGCTTTGCAGCATTCGCGATGGACTGATGTTCGGTCTGCACAACCGAGCCTGCCCCGACTGCCGCCCCTTGCGTCCTCCACGTTGCTCGCGCAGGCCAAGGAGCCGGCGTTGCCCCCACCGCCCCCACCGGCCCCGCCGCCCCCGCCGCCCCCACGTGATAACCTGGAAGTGGCCAGGCCGGCGCTCCTTGCTGTCCTCCCGGCGGCGCCCCTTGGGCCCCTCCCGGAGCGTGCGCAGGCCAGGGAAGTCGGCGCTGGTCCGGCTTGGACCCAAGGAGCAGCACCAGCCGTGGGTCCGTACGGCCCTCCGGGAGCGGATGCTTGCCAGCCCCCTCCCGGTGCCCAATTCACAGGGTACCCACCGGGACCCCACGGCGATGTGGCCTGTGGTGGATGTTCCATCCGACTGGAAATCTTGCCCAGAAGGTCGACGATCTTCGCGCTCGAAGTCTCTAACGAAAGCACGCGAGCATCCAGACCGGCGTTCTGGCCGCCGCTGCCGCTGCCGCTCCCACCCCCACTGTCATCTTGCCTCTGGAGCCTCTTGCACATGAGGCTCATCAGTTCAGTCGCCCCGTCACCGTCCGCGGGGTCAGTCCGGAAAGTTCGCACACGCGCGCTGCCGGTCTTCGCGGTCTTCTTTTGCTTGGGCACGTCGCCATTGGACAGCGCCTGGGCTTGTGCGTCATCTGCCTGAACCTTCCTGGCCTGTTGTTTCGAAGCTCTTGTCTCCTCGTCGTCCCCTGACTCGTCGGAGGGATGGTCGTTGAAGTACACGGCCTGTTCCCAGTTGTCGTATATCGTGCCGCTTTTTCCTCTGAATTTCCCACCATTGGCAGCCGCTACGCGTCCTCCAGCACCTCGACTCGACTTCCCGGGCCGCTGGGCGCGGGAACCGCCACCCTGCCGACTTCCGCTCCCGCCTGAACCGCGACTGCTGCTGCTGCTCCCGCCACCACGCCCCGCGCCTCTCGAAGAGCTGAGAGCCCCGGCGCCACTCTGCGTCGACATACCTGCCGCGCCTAGACGAGTGTTGGTGGCCTCCGCTTGGTCCTCTTTGGAGATTGAAGCTCGGTGGCACCTTTGCTCGTGCTGACTCCATCAGTTTGATGGCCATTATCAGATTTTGTTTCTGTCGTGAGAAGGCAAGGAAACAAAGAACCAAGGAAAGACACATCGGGATACAAACAAGTGTGGATTCCCTTTGACCTCGCGGCAACCGTTCGATCTAGGGTCAACAGAGGATAGCAACGTGGTCGACACAGACAGACATGACTGAAGACAGACGCAGCTGACCCTCACAGCTGACACCCACTGCCAGCGTCGACACCCACTGCCAGCGTCCTGCTTACCCTTATCCGAAGCAACCTCCTTCCTCCTGCCAGCACCTCCTCCGTCCAGGGAGAACTCATCTTCACTGCTTCAAATAAACTGGCCCCGACGGTTCCGCAAGTCAATAGAAATCAACGACAGATATTCTGGAATCCTCCACTCTCTCTGCGCGCTATGCGAGGTATCAACTGAGACCAGCAGTCACTATCTATCATGGGCCGGAGAAAGAGGTACACCCCCTTGGTTCAATCTTGGTACTTCACAACGCAAGCAGAGACCAGGCCATCTGGCAAAGAAAAAGAGAGAAAAAGAGAGAAAAAAAGAGAAAAAAAGAGAAATAAAGAGAAAAAATAAAAATGGAAACCGTAATAATTAAGGAGAAGAGGAACCAACCGTAGACACTCTGGTACTTTCTGACGCTATGAATTCATTGCTAATCTGTCTCAGACTATTTTCTATGATAGAGATGGATTCGTTGTGTCATATTAAGAAAAAAAAAAAAAAAAGGGCGAGGACAAAGAGGGACCAGGCCGAAAATAACAGGAAGTATGAGGCAGAACAAGGCACACGGTGGAGAGACCACTAACGAACAAGCAAACACGCAAACATTGGCCACCACCCAGCGATACATTGTAGCATGGTACGAAATCACTACTGGGGGATTGGTGCAATGGTGCAGCGTTGGGGGGGGGGAATTAATTGTTGGCTAAAAGAAATTCAATCCGGCACGTATCGTGCCACTCGGTCCGTCTCTTCTCCTTTGCTTTCTTCCCTCGCCGTCTCGTCCGTCTCCTGTCCCCCTCCCGCCCCATTGGTTGTTGGCTTGTGGTTTCGTTTGAGCGCTCGTTGTGGAAACCCTAGATGGATTAGATACGCAGCAGACAGACCTGTCTGACAACAGAAACACTGCAGCTATCGTGCCGGAAAACCCCATATCAACATGATGTTCAAATGGCAGCCTGTTCACCATTGAGCACGAGGGTTGTGGGGAATGCCAGCATGTCTAGACGGGGTTTGTAACGGTTTGACCGACTCTGGTGGGAAGTTGGCGAAGGTCAGGAGATATGGATACAAGAAGACCTTCGTATATATTATGCATAAATGAAGTCAACAATCGTCCTGATTCCACGGAACTCCCCCCCCCCATTCTCGCAACGGTGCCCCCGGAGGCTCGACCAAGCTGGCAGTCCCACGGCACGGAGCAGCGACTGGTTGGAACATGGCGGGCGTAGGGCTAGTCAGGCTCGGGAAGGAGCTCAAGATGCTAACCGACGAGCCACCCCCGGGAGTATGTGCCTGGCCAGTCGATGACTGCATCACCCACCTCCAAGCTCGTGAGTTAGTTCCCTGGCAGACAGAGTAGCAGAGCTTGCTGTGCACCGCTCGCAGCAAGCTGTGTTGGTGTGTTGTCATCCTGGCTACAACCATCGTGCATAGAGTAGTGCTGACTTCGCCCCCCAGGAAGGGACCATTTTCATCTCACGCTGCTGTAGCTTGCATCTTTGCCTGCGGGCGCCGCGACTGAAAAAGCTCTTTTGTACTGCTCTACGCCATATTTGAACTTGAGGCCGACAATTTTCGCCTTTCGCCGTTTGAAATTTAAACGCCGCAACAATTGCTGCATTTTTTGTGCTCTCTGTTGGACTGAAAGTGCTGTTATACGCCACCCTGATCCCTTGCATCCGCTCTCTCTTCGTTCGCGTGACACGTAGCATGTGAATGTTAATGATATTCGCCTAAAATCGATAATTTCGCAGTTAAGAGTCTGTCGCAGCCGACGCACTAGGCAGTGCGGCACACATGACTCTCTTTGACTCCGATGTACAGCAGTACATCTGTGCACATGTACAGCAGTCTATATGCGGAATATCGTCGTTCATCCTGTGACCATCGCCAACCGGTTTTACGAAAGCTATGCGTTTGTTCTTGCATGGCTTGGCCCACAGCACTTGTCGCAGCGAATCAAGTGCACTGCCGTAGGTGTTGGAATATACGGCAGTTCCAATAACGCTTTGACAGACAGACGCTGCCGGAGGTGCTACTAGGTACCCTCACCACACAAAACACGCGCGTGCGCGTAACATTCGCACTTCTCCCTCTCCTCCGCGACAACGGCAAACCACTTTCCAGAAATCCAGGGACCAGAGGACACGCCGTACGAGCGCGGGACGTTCTTGCTGGAGCTAAAGATTCCTGACAGGTGCGCGCCACTGCTGTGAACCATGTCGTCGCTTAGACCCTGTGGTCACCACCGTTGTGGGGGCTCGCGCCAAAACAGCAGTCTAGAGTGTGGCAGCATTGTTTTTTCCCTGGCGTGTGTGTGCTGCGGTGTGGACTGAGTGCTTGTGCGACACTGGCAATACTGCTTCCCGTGGGGTTGCGTGCGGCTTGCTCTTGTAGGTCATGGGACGGAGCGATGACACTGTAGTTTTGGCACCCCGAGCCACACTCGTCATTACCACGTCGAAGTATTTGCGTCTTCCACGACATGAGGGTTCGAAGCACGCGCGTCTTAGATCTCCCCCCCCCCCCCCCCCCCC